GCACTTCAAGCCTCAAGCTCAAGTTCAAGTTTCCAAGCGAGAATACGTTCGATTCACAATGAATGGTACTGAGAGGGTAAGAGCCAAATCGATGAGAAGTGTATGGACGACAATGCTGTATGAGCTGAACATCCTTTAGCAGTGAGCCGAATGAAAAAAGGGTCCTTGTCGTCGGAAGATAAGACCCGTCAACAGGATACCATCAACGTACGTCGCTGTCTCGAGGAGTACGTGGAACATTACTTCAAGAAGTTGACTTCATGGCCGTTCGTTGGGCTATTCAACAAGTCGCCAAAAGGACTTTACGTTCCGTTTCCTCGTGTTCGGTACATTCAGCACTAGTGAGACGAAAAGCCTTAGTCGATCACCCCAGCATGGACAATGTCGCAACAAAAGTCCCTTGGCCTGTAACTTCAAGCTTCAAAAATTCCGTGACAGCTGGATTGAAGGATATGAAGTGGCTTTGACTACGCCTGAAGCGATCAGGGCGCGACAAACTTCGGATCTCAGACAAGGCTGGACCCTGAGCGCCTTATATACGGGCGCTGACCTCTGCAAGAGCGCTCTGAACAAGTTTTCCTCTTCCAACAACATGACCCCCAACGTCGTAACCAAACTCCCCCCGGAAATCATTGAACAAATCATCTTTTCTCTGTGGTCTCTCAAACTTACCACCGTCGAACGTGTCCAGCTCATCACGTCCTCCGTCCTTGTGAATCACGCGTGGGCCGAACTCTTCCTTCGCGTATCCTGGCGCGACGTGTCCATACCGACACTATCATTCATCATGCATTTCCGCCGTTTGCTTTGCGGAGAAGCAGTTATCGCTCGGATTCTCCACTTGGATCAGGGTTTGCCGAATGTCCTATGTCAGAGTATAACGTTCGACATGTCGAAGGAAGGGGGGCTGAGGGATCCTATGACGGACGCACGGGCGAACTTGGGCTTGCTTTTTCTTGAGCATCGAGAGATCGTTCCGAACTTGCGGTGGATAACGTACAGCGATGGTACAGATGTGAAGAGGATAGCCTTTAGGTGGGCGATATGCCCACCAACACCGGGGGCATCGGTGAAAACCTGAAGAAATGGGGAAACGAGCATCACATTCTTATGGTCTCCATTTATACAACGTCAGCAGCCTTTTACAACGGAGGAGTATCAGGTACCGCGACTTTAAACCCTTCCGCCTTCCAGATGTTCTCGATCTGAACTAGACTATCCACAGCATCTAGCACGGTATCCCTCCAAGGGATATATGAATCCGCCTTGAACCCAATCTGCTTCTCGACCAGTTCTCTATCAACTTCGATTGTATAGGAAGGCCACTCTGGCGCCTTCGACGGATGGACAAGACGGTCCTTCAACTCCGGGCGTTCCTTGGCAATAATGTCGATGGCGTCTTTATAAGACGATTTGTAAGGGGAGACCAAAGGGGATCTCTTCCTGCCGACCACCGATGTAGGCGGAGATTCCAGGGCGAGGAGGTGCGCACGAGCAACGTCGCGGACGTCGATGGCTCCCGGGAATACGGCAAAGTGGACGTTATCGGGGCGGAGGAGGGCATATATGAAGCCGTTGGTAGAGAAGGCTTTGTACTCGGGCTCTAGTAACATGTGTTCAAATCCGGGAGCAAGGGGACCAAAGGTGTAATGTGGGGCAACTGTAGGGTATTTGTCAGTTCAATGAAATATGGTGAGCAAGTAGTTTCCCCCGTACCGAAGGAAATGTCTAGCTCTGGATGATCCTTGGAAAATTCCAACATGGCCTGATCTGCGGCAGTCTTGGAGCCTCGGTAGATCAAGAAAGAATTATTTGTTGCGGTGACTTCTTCCTGCGTCACGGAGAACCAGTCTATGTTGATCATTAGAGCTCACTCTTAGTTCAGGATATGATAAACATGCCGTCGACCCCATAAGGCCCTCCAGGAGGATATGCTACAGTGGTACTGGTGTTGACCACACGTTTAACACCAGCCTTGATGGCTTCGCGCAAAATATGACGGGATCCTTCAGTTGCAAGCTTGGAACAACGTTCGGTATGAGGAGCTGCTACACAGAATTCAACAAATACATACACGATAAGACGTTGCAGCGTCTGCCTTTCCGGGAGTCGTTGATGCAAGATGTATGATTCCATACACACCTGGAGTCAAGGAATAAGCTGCAGTTCTACGTTTCAGCGGCTAAGCCGATGAAACAAACCTTGCAGGGCTTCGCTCAAGTCATCGGAGAAGATATCCGGAATTTCTAAGACTTGTAGTTTGTCATACGTGCTGAGCGCGTTGCGGAGAAGCGTTGCCTTCTTGCCGCGTGCTGTACTGGGTTAGAGATTTTAGTCCCAGTGACACATTAGATAGTGAATGCACATACGCTCGAACCGTATATCCTGCTTCTAGCAGCTGAACAAGGACGTGGAACCCAATAAAGCCAGTACCGCCGGTGACCTTGAGCAAAGATTTACTATACCTTGACAATTATCGGCGAGAAAGAAACGCACAAGGATAATCTTCGAGACGTTAGAAGTCATGCTACTTCTGAGAAACTGATTAACGACGCGCAACTGATCATACTTATATCAATTCTAGCTTAGTCGGCCAGGGGCTCTATCATTCAGCCCCGAAATCTAGCTGACGAAGACTGCTGCTTAGATATAACATGACCAAGGCCAATGCTGAAGCACTTGGATTGATAATTCTCGGGTAAGGGATCGATCGCCGACTCTGAGTCGTGTCCCGGTGTGGTCCAAATCTGTACGATTGGACGAGTCCGAGTCGGACCGGGGAAATCGAGTTCCATCAGTCCCACTGAAATGGGACGAGTCGTACTGGGACCTGGGTGTCACTTGGTCCCGTTAGCGCTACTATTACCGTTCTTGTCCGTCAACCCAACACTTCTGCTGGTCAAGTGGAAGTTCCGCCCCCAGACTGCGACCCGGTGCACCGGCAGTCCTTTTTCAACGCTAAGTCAATGAGCATCGCTGCCACCAATATATGTGCAGGGCGCATTCTTCCTGTGATATTTGAAAAAAAGTTTTTTTAATGATTCATCTATTATATATCCCGCAGATACACTAGATCAAGCTAGTCTGGTCCGTGCTCGTCTGGGTACATCATGAAGGTTCGTTTGGGGCATCTGTGGAAGACCTTGTGTGCGTCGGGAGCGGGACAAAACTACGTGAGGGCGTGATTGAAGGGTTCAGGGTCGAGTGGCATTCACGTTGTGATTGGTGAGTGATCAATCAGTCGTACTGACGAACTCAATCCTACAAGAAACTCAAATCCCACTCATACTACTTTGGTATATACTCGTCGTATCCATAAAAACAAGGTCTCATTTCGCACGAATCTGGCACTACACCTATCATCACTATTTACACGATATAATCATACACATCACCTCATGCCTGGTCCTTCATCGGAGGAAAACTATTTGGATAATTCGGGCGTTCCCTGCAACACCGCTGCCATCCCGGTTGGGGCATACCTTTCACCAGGAATGTCGCTTTCTTCCGCAAGTTTACGAATCGCGGCAATTTCCTCTTGGCTAAGCTTAACCTTAGCCGCTCCTAGGTTTTCTTCCAAATACTGGGGGAAAAGTAAGTGTAAGACAAAGAAACATGATAGCACTACATGACTACCTTGATCTTCTTTGTACCCGGAATAACGACAAAATCGTCGCCTTGCGCAAGTATCCAAGCGAGGGTAACTTGTCCAGGCGTCGCGTTATGCTTTGATGCAATCACCTTCAGATGGTCCACAAGGTCAAGAATCTTGGGAAAATTCTCCTTCGAATACCTGTGAAAACACTATCATGACTACATCGTAAGGCAGGCAAACTCAAGAGTGCGCACTTGGGAATAGTCTTCCGGAAATCTCCTTCTTCAAAGTCGTCAGGAGACTTATATTGACCAGTGATAAGTCCTCTAGCTAATGGAGAGTACGCGACGACGGTGATACCCAGCTCTCTCGCTGTTTGCAAAATTGCGAGTTTCGAGTCCTCGATATAGAGAACTAAGGGAGAAAATTCGACCTGAATGGCAGAGATTGGATGGACGGCATGTGCTCTGCGAAGGTCCTTGGCTGTGCACTCTGACAAACCGAGGTACTTCACTTTGCCTTCCCTGGCAAAGTAGTCAATGTCTATGTAAGTATGAAACGATTAAGACTATGAACGCACTTGACGAGCTCAGCCATCGCGGTAACGGTATGCTGAAGATAGTTAGACAGATAATATAGAGGAGAAAGGAATGGACTAACTTCAATCGGTACATTACGATCGGGTCTGTTCAATGATGAAAGGCGCTACTGCAACTGCTTCGATAAATCACATACCGGTGTTGATAGTACAGGTCGATATAGTCGACCCCAAAGCGCTCAAGCGATTTCGCGCATTGCTCCTTAACGTACTCGGGATCGCCCCGAGGTCCATTCGGGGTGATGCCAAACTTGGAAGTAAGGAAGATCTCGTTTCGTTTACCCATTCGCTTAAACCTGAACATATGCTTATTGGTCGCACATTCTGCTTCGTGAAGAAAATTACTGAGCATACCATTTTCCGATAAGAAGTTCGGAATCTCCGTAAACGTTGGAAGAGTCCCAGTGCCTACATCCTTTCTCGTATGCAGCATCCAGAATCTATACTACGCGTCAGTAAGCGTCCACATATATGAGAAGGAGATGACCTTAAATCGCTCCTCGTCGGAGTCTACTGACCCATAGAAGCTGCTGAGTCCCATGGCACCAAAGCCGATAGGATTAATCGAAGCGTCGCCGATTTTCCTGGGAGGTAAAGACATGATGGTGGTTCGAAAGAAAGAGACCAGATGACACTTAGCAGTCTTTATAAGCTAACGAAATGCATGACAAAGCGATTTCTCGAACGGTCTTTCAACCACATCATGGATGATGTAGATGAGAGAGTTCATTGAATTTGCGCACTATCTAAGACATAAAAACATTTATTTATTTATTTTTATCCCAAGGTTTCAATGGCAGGCAAAAAGGGCCTCACCGGGAATTGAACCCAGGACCTCCTCGAACTTCAACCCAAACGAGGAATCATGCGACTAGACCATAAGGCCATATTGAGAGGGGTGGACTCTACCATGAAATTCCATCGTGCACCACAATGAATGACCACTCACTGGTCCTGACTCAATCTAAATTCCAAGTTGCGTCTCGGCACCGGACCGTATGGCAAGAGCGAAGCCATACACGTTGCCTCACAGTATTTCATCTCCAAACCCTTTCCCGCGCGTCTCGTTGAGGAGCAACGCGCTCACAGTCGGTCAGTTCAATTGAATTCGCGATGTTACTGCCTTAGTTCAACAACTAATCTGGTCCTTGTAGTACATTCATCGTCACTCTCGAAAACAGTATTGAGGCGATCATCAAGCTGACGGATACCGAAATCGTTTTGTCTCGTGTGGCTCTTGCTGACCGACATCGTTCCTGAAGTTCAATTCTAGCAAAGTTCGGAAGGCCCATTTTGCGTATGTCGGCTAATTGATTCCCGGAGCTCCATGGGACATTACGAAAGCATTGCACATGTACCAGGTCATTGTGACGATCTCTGCCGACCTCGCACGCATCTTCACCGAGTGCTCATTGGGTATTATACTTGCTGGTGTCGTTGACCACTACATTAAACCTAGATTGGAAAATATTCTCCAGCAAGACATCCTCCTGGAATTAACACCACGGCCGGTTGCGCGAAAGTGTGTGGCTGCACTTCTGGAACCGGCTAGGTCAAGTGAATTACTTTGCTGTCGCTCTCACTGCCACGCAAACCTCAGCAATATAACCGCGATTGTTATAACGTACATTGACCGTCTGCTTTCTGATCCACGCAACGAGAACAAATCACATCTATGATCGTCAACTGGGATTGTGACCTCCTGCTGCCTTTGGGGATGAACGCCTGGCGTGTGCACGATTATTTTGTCATTGTTTCTCCAGCGTTTCCGTCGCTTTCTGTGACAAAGGCTCTTTGGACGGCTCTGGTCGAACCTTTCCCCGATTCCTCATTTCATCGTGCGTTAGTGACTGCAGGGCGGAGAGTACTTGTCCAGAGCACCTTTGATACATCCTTGCATCCTCATGATCCGGAGCAAATGGTCTCGATCCATAATTGGCTGGCAGATACTTTTACAGCCATGGCTGCTTCTCAAGGAGTGAAGGCCGTATGCAAATAAAAGCAACTCTGAAGATTCCAAAGCTGCAACACCCCGACATCTGTCGTCGGTGAACGTGCCGACGCATCCAACGCCAGTCAGAATGCCAACTCTTGTCGCCAGGCTTTTCTGGCCCAAAGCTATAGCAGAAGCAGAAATTGCAGCGGCTAGTTGCTTTTCACATACGGTTGTGGCGGCGCGTGTTCACGATGAGCAAGGGTGTTTCAAATTGTAAAGACCTCTTGTTCCAGATAAGTTACACGTACTCACCGCAGCTATAGAACCTTAGTGGTCACCCTTGAGAATGAAAAGGAGGTCATTGTACTCCGGGACTGCGAGATTGGCTTTTCCAAGGTTCCACTTGCACGCAGTCTACTAGGTACCTAATATTCAGTCAGGAAAGCTTCGAGCCTATGTGGCTAATCTCATCCCGCGGACGAGCAACTAAACATTTGTGCAGAGATCGCTCAACTTCTGGCGCGTTGTTCCCTAGGAATGAGCAGTACTGTCGTTGTCGATCGATACACTGTGCCTCGTCTGCAGAAAACATTGGAAACGGAGGATTTTTCTGATACTCCAGCCTGGGAAGGACACCTGTGAGCTGGAGTCGCCGCCAGTATCTCTCTGTCACATCGACGTAAATCATCGAAACGTGAGTTCTCGCTTCTAGCTCGCGTTTGACTGTATTTCTCACGTCATCGTAGATCCTCGTGGACAACGGTAAGCACATATGTGGTCTGATGGACTGGGAACACGCGATTCTGCTTCCCCTTGCAATGAATGCGTGGCGCATCCGTTTCCTGTCTGTTACGATAGCAGGTGAAAGGCACATGCCGAACGAGTGCACAATACCCATAGCTGAAGCCTTCTGTAATGCTTTCCTCGACGGTCTCCAGCGCACAAACGCGCCGTACTCACTGCCATGCAAACGGGTCTGGCTATCATACATCACTTTGGCGATTACTTTGTATCCAGGATCCAGATGCAAGAGTTTGCTGACATATTTGATTGGTTCGACGTAACGATTCAGTAAGTTGTGGGTGTAAGCGATTCGACAAATTACACCATATTCTTGGTATAGACAAGTAATAAACCGCGACCGCTTTTTCTGATATCCCAGATCTAGAATAATAAGTAACTGTAGTTTGAGCGATTGCGATACGACCTGCACGTTCAAACCGGATATATCCGATGCATGGGTACAAAGAATATATGTTGGGTAAATCTGAAGAAACGCGCGCTAATACCCTACTCAGAAAATCCTCAAACACAACCCAAGGACGCTGTGTGTGTTAGCAATACGCATCAATATCGACCCGAATCTCGGTATAGTGGTAACCGTGCTGGATGTCCTTGGGAGTCGCTGTCCTTTTCTAGTACTAGGCTTAAAACCTTCTGTTCAAAGGTAGGCGATCACCCAATGGCTGAAAGGGACTTCAATCATTCGCTCCTCGACTCGAGTTTCCGTATGGCTGAAAGAGCAAAGAATGCCAAAATCGTTCATCTCTTTGTTACATGTACAGGCTTTACTACACATAGAAAATAAAAATCGAGAACCTATCACCACCATTTAATCTACCTTCAAAGGCGTCGTCCGGAGGTAAGGCTATGGAAAAGGAATATCAGATTACCGGTCACTCCACGAACGGATAAAGTACACACATAGTGGACCTTGTGCTCAGGGAACAAGGTTTTCGCCTCCTCGTTGCTGACACTAGCGTGAACGATAACGTCGTCACCCTTGTTCCAGTTAACTGGCGTGGCAATACGATACTTATCACCCAGCTGGATAGCATCAATGACACGGATGATTTCGTCCTAAGAACACGATACATCAGACACAAGTATGAACGACAGACAGACGTAGAACGTACAAAGTTGCGTCCGGCTACTGCGGGGTAAGAGATGGTCAGGCGGATGACCTTTTTGGGGTCGATGATGAAAACTGTGCGGATCTACATTTATTGTGTCGGCACGGAAATACGCGTCAGACATGCGAGTGGCAACGTACGGTGAATGGCAGTCCTTTTGCATCTCTGTTGGTAACATCCTGATAATCCAGCATGTCGTACAAGTAGGAGATTTTGCGATCAGCATCGGCAATCTGAACGACGTCGCTTTAGTACAAGAAACATGGACCGGTAATCAAATACGATACTCACGATGGGGTATTCGACATTGGTAGGACCCGTCGTTTTACCTCCATATTCTTCAATGTCTTTAATCCACTTATGGTGCTCCTCAAGACCGTTCGCAGAGATACCGATAACCTTGACGTTGCGCTTGGCAAAGTCAGGCGCGCGCCGAGCGACTTCACCCAGCTCAGTCGTGCAGACAGGGGTGAAATCTCCTGGATGGGAGAAAAGGACGCCCTACACACAGATTCGTTCCGGTATCGACAAAAGGCACCAAGTCAAGACATACCCAAGAGTTGCCCAACCACTCGTGGAACTTGATTTTGCCTTGCGTCGTCTCCGCCTCAAAATCGGGGGCGATGCTGCCAAGTCGAAGGGATTTATGCTGGTCGGCCATTGAGATAAGTATTGGTGGTTAATGAATATCGGTGTTCAGGACTAGGGGCGCGTTATATAGCATCCCATCTCACCATAATGACGTGATTTCGACATTGACTGATTCAGATTCGTATATCGCAGTTTGGTGTGAATATAGACCCATAAATATAACACCACCTGCCGAAAGTGGGCCATTCCTCATTCACTAGCGTGCGGATTCTGAGCTTAAGCATCAGCAAGTGACGGAAGCAAATGAGGTAAGACTTGCCCAGAATGATCTGATAACAAAATGAATTTGCGGGGACTCTTGAATTCGAAGGACCGAGATACGGAAAAAGAACTTTCACGTTCATTTCGACTGTCAGGTTTCTACATCTTTGAGCCTGAAGAAGCGCGAAATATCTACTTGTTGACAGGACTAAACAGTTCTCATCATTCAGATAGGTGTGCCTCGGACCCGAAACAAATTGATTGACATTGAATGAGCTGCAATGCATCTGAGTATCCAAGCCACAGCCAGGTGACAGATGCTGAATCTAGGTTCAGCACGGCATTCGGCATCCATGTATCACCATTATAAACGACTACCAATGTAGTAATACAAGTGGCAGTGGAGTCAAATACATTCGCGACGCGTAGTACAAGCCCACGCTACGCCGCACGAATTCAAACCCTGAAGTCAAAAGACGTAAATATTGATCGCACTAGGGTCGGCGGTTAGGCGGAGGGGCCCTATATGGACGCTGAAGCGGCATATAGGGGGTGAACGAAGGCGGGTTTGACGACGGCGGGGAGGGAGGAGCCATGTATCGAGGATAGCTGGGAGGAGGATACGGAAACCGGCCATGAGGGCGTGCTGGAAGATGCGCGTTCTGCACTGTCAGCCTCTTGTTGTCATTCGATGGCTGTGCCTGCGACTGGGCCACCTTCTGCCGCTTACTGGAAGGTTCGACCCCGTCATCCCGCTGTTTTCGCTTCTTCGCTTCCAAATACTGGGGAAGCGAAGGCTCTCTTCGGAAACGGAGGAGCTCGATAAGATTTCCATTCGCCGCCTTACAGCACACTGCGACCTTGGCGTCGGACTGGTTGCGATACTGTGTTGGCACAGCAAACTCTCGAAGATCTCGCTGGCCTTTAATCGGAGACAAATTAACTGTTAGTGTACACGACCATGCTGCGACATCGAATAAATTGAGTGGCCAGTCAGAGAAAAGATCGAACTTACCATCCCGTTGATTCTTGCACTCAAATGTAGGCTGCTCGCCGTTGGATATCTGACACTCCTTGTTCAATTTCGGCAGAAAGGAATCTTTGATTCTCTTCATCTCTTGTGTTATATTGTTGACGTCTCTCGCCACCTTCTTCAACCACTCGCCAACACCCTGGGACATAGCC